AAAAAAAAAAAAAAAAAGAGCACTACCCTTATGCGGACTCTATGTCATAGAGGCCCCAGCTGCCCTGGCCAGGAGCACCCTCGGGCACGCTACAGAAGCTCCCTGTGCCCATGGGGCCTTCTCAGCCTGTCCGTGCGCCTCGGCCCCGGGGCCTAAGATCCCCCTGCCGCAGGCCAGGGCTGGGCTGGCGTGGGCCTCGAAATCCCAGGATGTTCAAGTGTAGCCGCAGAAGGTACCGGCAGAAGCCCCAAGGCCCAGCTGCCACCACTGCAGCCACCAATCCTGCCACCGTGGCCACAGATATCAACAGCACTCCTACCGCCACCACCAGCGTGTGGATCCTTCCGCCACAAAGTTAGCCAAGGGCCCGGAGGCGGGGTGGGGGTTGGAAAAACCAGGGCCATTTGTTTCCCCCCCTTAGCCCTGCCTAGGCACTCTAGGGGGCACACCCTGTGTGAAATATCACCCCCAAAATATGGTGGGGTCTTGATGGCAGACTCCTAAAGGCTGAGAGCCTTAATGGAGGGTGTATTGGCTGAGTGGAGGGCCTGGGGAACTGTGAATCTAAGAACAGTGGAGCTTCCAGAACTGCTGTCTTCCTCACACTCTTCCCTCTCCTTCCTCTCCTCAGTTCTCAGACACCTTTGTCAACCTGGCAGCTTTCTGATCTTCTAGAAATGTCCAGAAACTAGTCCAGAAGCTTGGCTGGCTCCGGACCTGCATCTTCTAGGGGCCATGAGTGGTTGACAGCAGGCAAATACAATCATTTCTGCTCCAACGGCCTCACTCCACTCCAAGGTGTTTCCAGACAACTATGCGGGGTACGACGGCAGGGCTGGGGCTGAACGCTCCCAGGGACAGGCTTCAGTGAGGACAGATGGGATCACAGTTAGACAATGGAAGGACAGGACAAGGTCAGCAACACACACCATTTCTCCATCTTTGGCCTCAGCTACTGATTTGCCCCATGAGGTAGGGGGCCTTCCTGCATTGCACAGGGAAAAGGGTCTCCATAGACATCTTGGAAGTTACAGAGAGCCAGATGCTTGAGGAGGGAGGTAGAGGCATGGATCAGACAGGGATGGCACGAGAGATTTCAGGGCTGGAGTCTAACGCCGAGAGTGCTTCAGTGTGAGCTCTGTGTGGCTCTGTGCCTGCGACGGTGAGTGTGCAGATGTAGATGTTGGGGTGCGTGTGTGTGTGTGTGTGTGTGTGTGTGAGAGAGAGAGAGAGAGAGAGGCCAGGACATGGGACTGTGAGCAGACATGTGGCTCAGTGTGCCTCTGCAATGGGTTGTGCCGCTGCGGCTGGCAGAGCATCAGGTGTGTTTGTAAGGGTCTGGGTGTGCCAGAGGGAGGCTTGGCTGAGAGGAATGAAGGTCAGGAATGGGGTGCGGGCAGCCTGAGGCAGCAGAGGGTTGCTTCCGAGGAGGGCGGGCCACCTTCGGCCCCCTAGCTCTTCCCTGAGGCCAGTGTGTTCCGAGGCTGTCAGCTGAGCCTCTGCGGTTAGGGGTGGGGCAAGACTGAGTCGAGTCCAGAAAGGGGGAGGGTGCTGAGCACTCCGGCCTGGGGATTTTCCATTTGGATTTCTGAGTGTGTGCCCATGTGTCATCAGGTGTAACTGGGTTGCTGTGGGGTGCGTCTCCACGGAGCTGTGTCTCAGTGGCAGGAAACACTGTGAGGGACTCTTCTCTAAGGCGTCGCTGTATGCGTGGGTGTGTGTCCGGGGCTCCCTTCCCCAAGGGTTGGGGGTGGGAGTGAAGCCTGAGAGCCTGGGCCTGGCCCCCCCTCTCCCCCCGGGGTTCAGGAAGCCTGTGAGGAGAAAAGGAATTGTGTCTGTGTCCTTCAACGCCAAGGCTTGCTGGGACCCTGAGAGGAGGGACGGGACAGAGAAGTCACTGACACTTTGCGCGCAGACTGCACAGATTGGGGCATGAGGCTCGGCGGGGTATGGGGGAAGTGGCGCTGAACCTCAGTCAAAGCTGGAAGGTGGCTGGGCTAGCGCCCAAGGCCCACAGAGGGGCCCACACGTTTAAAGACACATGTCACAGTCCATGAACATATGCAGACGTGTAAGTAGAAGTGGACTCACAGACACACAATGCAACAAACACAGGTGCATGCAAGTACAGGCTTATAAACAGAGCTACTCGCCGCCCCTGCTGCCCTTGGCCCTCCCCGGCTGGCATATGTAACTACAATGCACGTGCCTGTAAAAGAACGCACGCAGACGTCAACATGCTTGCGTCTCGACAAGCACATAAGCACAGACAGCCACACGTGCAATCACACTCATGCAAACCCAGGCACACACAGACACACGCACACATGCAGACACACTCACCAGACTTCCCTGCCCGGCCCTGGAACCCAGAAGCTTCCCTCCCCTATAAGAGTGAGTGTGTGTGTGTGCGCGTGCACGCCCCCACTTGTGTCTGTGTGTATCTGTGTCTGTGAGAGTGTGTGTGTATGTGTGTGACTGGGGGGGGGTGCTGAGCTGTGGGAACCTGATGACATCATCTCTTCTGGCTATTTTTAGTTCCCTCTGCAATGACGGGCTCCTCCACGGCCCCTCCCCTTCCAGGCTCCCGGAGGCAGCTGCAGCCAGAGGGCACCCACCACTCCAGTCTAGGTGACCCCTGGATGACTGGGTACAGCTCACTCGTTCCCACCCCACCAGAGCTCCCTGGAGGTTGAGAACACCAGAGGAGGAGGCTTGGGCCATGTGGCAGCCTGGAACAGGGGCCTGGGTTCGGTGAGCAGACCTGGCTGGTCTCCAGCCCCCAGGGTGCCTCCGCTTCTGCTTTTCAATCTGAAACTCCGTCTCTGTCAGTAGTGCGTGCCATGTGCCAGGGAGGGTGCCAAGTTCTGGAGCTAGAGCAGTGTGCAAGACAGCAGGAGTTCTTCCTGGTGGGTGTTACAGCTCGGTGGGAGACAGACATTAAACAGATCACACAGGCACTGCACCAAACTGTGTCAAGGACTCTGAACGTTGGTAACAAGGGGCCTCGGTCTGGGATGATGCTCTTTCTATCTCATGGAGATAACCCGAGGAAACCAGAGGGGTACCCTCCCTGACCTTGCACCTTCCACCCCAACAACCACACTCCAGAATTCCACAGAGCAGAACTTCCTCCTCACACCCCAGGCTGGGCTCCCAACATCGCCCCAACCCACCCTCCAAGTGGTGGCCCCCCACGATTCATGGCCCCCTTTCTTTGGAACCTCCCCCCCGCCACACCGCCCGTTGATCCCTGGGAGCCAGTCCTTAGTCCTCCATCTGTGGATGAGAAAAGTGAAACTCGGAGAGGAGTAGAGGAGTAGGGCAGGATCACACCTCCTGGTGCCCAGGCAGCAACTCAAGGAGATGGCAGGCCCAGGGAGGAGGAAGTGGTGGCGACACAGGGTGCGGGAAGAGCGGGGGCGGGGGCGTGTCAGGAGGGGAGGAGGACTGCGGCCGAGGGGTCCTTGCCCAGAGCAGGCTTCCTGCTCCAGCCAGCCTCTGGGCAGCCACCAGAAAATCGGGTTTGGCAGCTTGGGCCAAGTGCCCAGGGGCTGGAGGAGGGGTCCGGGCAGCTCTGGGGAGGCTGCCCGGGGGCGGGCTCATCCTCTGACCCAGAGTGCGGCCAGGCCCCAGGCCAAGCTGTCTTGTTGGGGGAGCATTTTGTAATACTGGGACCCTTTGGAGTGTGGGGGGAACAGCTCTGCGCTGGAAGCAAGAGGCCGGAATTCCAGTCCTTCTTCTGCCCCAAACCTCAGTGTGCTCCTTGGAAAGTGCTGCCCCCTTTCTTAGCCTGAGTGGGCCCTCCCAGGAAGTCGTGCTGGAGGACTACTTTCCGCATCCCCAGTTCCTGCCCTCTGGGTTTTCCTGGGATTCTGACTCGGGCAGAGAAACACAAACTTTGTGTTTGGGACAATGGGTTGGGACGGGAACAGACTGCCCCCAGGGCGCCAGGCTGGAGGTCCCTTGTCACCAATGGGTCAATCGCCGGAAGCCTAGCTCCAGCCCTACAATGCTACATGGGTCACCCCACCCTTACCAGTACCCTCACCCACACCCCGACTTCCGTCTTCTGTTCCTTCCTCACCTTCAGAGAAAGCTACTGGGCTCCCTGGGGAATCTCCCATACCTACTCTATTGGCTCCCTGCCCTGTGCTCAACCCTCCCTCCCCCTCTGCCCACTTGACAGGGCCAGTCTCCCAGTTAACTTTCTGTCCCTGGATCCTCGGGCAGGCCCGGGAGGAAAGGAAGCTGGGTGGAAGGCCTGCACAGGAGCCTGCTTTTCCTGCTACCATCAGATACTTGAAGCCCAAATGAGGGGGTTGGGAGGAGGGGCGTGGACTGAGTGCTGGGGCCTAGGACAGCGCTGCCTTTGCATATTCCAGCCCCAGTGGAAGTGGGAATGTTACCCTTTACCTATCCAACAATCTTCTGTGCCTTCAGCGAATTCAGAGAAGAGAGCCCAGAGCTGTGACTTGCTTCCTCTGGAAAACAAACACAAAAACCTAGGACAAGTGAGTCCTGGTTATAGTCACTAAGTCAGTGATAAATTCATGAAAACACAAAACCCATAAAATTCTAAATGCATAGAATCCATAGTCGTGGAATCTTAGCATCACAGAATTCTAGCATGGTGAAATCTGAGTTACAGAGTCAGAAATATAGAATTCTGGCAACACTGATTCCCAGATCACAAGGTTAGAGTATCCTCAAATAGAGAAGTCTTGAGAAATCAATTAGTGAAATCTTGACCTTCAGGTGGATGTCTAAACTAGAGGATGGGCATTGGGGATGGGCAAAGGAGTTCATGCATGAACACTAAGGAGGAGGCAGAGAGCTCAGGACACATGAGCTTAGGATAAGTTAAGAAGCCTGCAACAAACCAGACAGAGGACAGACATCTTCCATGAGGACACATTCTTGGTTTCTAAGGATGAGGGGAGTGGGGTGGCAGGAAGGGAGCACAGAGAGGGGAACTATAGACAAAGAAAACATAGCCTAAAGAAAAGATTATCAAGTAGCCTAATACACCAGCCACAATGCCTCCCGATTTCTCCATGATTGGGTTTAACACCAGCCCAGGACATTTTCGAAGGTTAGTAAGACTCCTTATCACATTGGAACGGCAAGCCACACCTGGCTTTTTTGGGAAGGAAAGTACCAAGTAGAAAATATTCTGTATACCACAATATCTTGGGGCTGCTGGGAAGAGCAGACTCTCCAAAGAGGATACTGAGCTGTGACCAACAAAGCCACGCTGTGGGCTGGGGTGCGGAGCCCCTAGCAAGGCCTTGGTAAGGGACCTTGTGGAGACCATCTGCCTGGGGTGGTGCCTGGGAGGGGCATCTCTACAAAAGGAGCCAAACTTGAGGCAGCACTTGGTATGGGGATTCATGCCTGATTATGGGGTTGGTTACTCAGTAAACAACAGGGATATTTACCTAGCATTTCTGGGAAACTACTGCAAACTCAGGAACCCAGAAGAAGCAGTTCCAGAGAGAGGCAAATGCCAAGCTCTTCTGGGCATGGGGAATGGGGCAATGTCAGCTGGAGATCCTCTTGCTCGGCCGCCTGTCCTTGGATTCAGCTCAACACCTCAGCCCTGACCCCTACCCACATCCTCATTTGCCTCCCTCTCCCTGCTTGCCTGCCAGTCTCCCACCTCCATCTGCTGTGTGAGCTTTGGCAAATCATGTCCCCTCCCTAAGCCTCAAACCTCCTTTGCTTTCTTTTGAAGTCGATAATTGGGTCCTAAGCGCAGGTTTTAGTATTTTA